CTCAAATTAGTCTCATTTAAGAGAGCGTGAGAAAACGCCGTGGGTCTTCTGCTAATTCACTTACTAAGCAGATCGCGTAGCTAAGTAAGGGGGCCTAGCAAATGGCACATAAAATGACGCTTATAATAGAGGAAATGGGTACGCTTTAAGCAGCTCTTAACGAGTCAAATAAGCGTAAAAGCCGCAAGCGGCGATACGTACGGACAGAAGAGACTCTTACTGTAGGCGAAGTACAAGAAGTATTAGCTAAACAGGCGGGTAGCAGTCGTGGTGATGGTGAGAGTGCGTCGAAGAGGGTGCGAGGAGAGCGGCGGTGCGGGCGTTGCAAGCAGACTGGACACAACGCTCGTACCTGCGTAGTTGAGATAGATAGTGCAAGTAATAGTGGCAATTCTAACAATTAATTTAGTGTATCGCAATAGTTTATTAACTGTGATAAAAAACTGTGATAACGTGTTGATGTAGATGTAGTGGTGGGGCGTTAGCGACTCGCTTGGGTTAGCGACTCACTTGTGAACCACGTTATCTTTACTAAAGTTTAACTTAATTATATAGTAATTTAGCTATTTAGTAGTCTTAATAATATAAGTAATATTATAGCTTAAAGGCAATATAGTAATTAAGTAATATCAATAATATTTTAATAATTTATATATATTATATAGTAATGGTATAAGTGTCTTAAAAGCTACTAGCTTACTTAGAGTAAAAATACTAAGCTTTTATACTAGATAAGTATTATCCAATTACTAAGTTGGTTATAATATTTAGTACTAAGTTATTATATTATAGTGCTAACTCTATATAGTTTAGATGCGCTTACACTAATGTAGACCCCTGCTAAGTAGTAGGCTAGATAGCCGCTTAGTGGTAGGACGAATAACTTTTGCCTAATGTGGGCGTCAGACAAGGACCTGGGGACCGAGGAAGGACTAGCCGGGGGGGGGGATCAAGGTGGAGAGGCCTGAACGTTCTGCAGGCGATGGTGAGGATGCATCGTAGCACACAAAGAACCATGGCCCATGGCTAATATGGCCCTCTCTGCATCGCATCGGCGGCAGCGCTTCCATGCCAGATGATCCACTCTTGCCACCCGCTCCCACTTCTGCTTGTGCCCTGCTTCTCGGCAAGCATTTACCCGGGCGA